CCAGATGTTAGCAGCAGCTGAACAGCATCTACAGAAACCAGCTGCAAAGACAGAAGCAGAACAATTGATTTGGTGGAGAGATCTAATAACAAAAAGTTGGGAAACAGATAAAATAATAACTTGGGGTAGAGGTTATGCTTATATTTCTCCAGGCCAAAATCAACAGCCGATTTGGATACCATCAAGACACCTGAAACCTTATCATGAGCCAGATGCTGAGGAAGAGATTCCCGGAGGATCCTGAGGACCCCCCGGTTGCAGCCATGTTGAGACTGACACTGAGGAGGACCCCAACTGTCATGAGCAACACCTGTCGAACACAGCCACCCACCTGGGGACAGATCAAGAAGCTGTCACCGATGGCAGAAGAAAACCTGAGGAAAGCAGGACAACAGTCACAATGAGTAATTTAATGGTAACTATGATAGTGATGATCACCAGTGCCATGAGTATTCCTTCAACAAAGGCTGACACAGAGAACAATTATACTTATTGGGCATATTTATCAATCTTGGCTGGCAATAGTGCCTGGATGTAATCACTCTATGACACAGTTACACATGCTTTCTGATCTCAGTATTTACCATAATAACTCTGCTCCTATAATTGAGGCATACCGCTCTCAAAAACCTATTTGTAAAAAGAATTGGACCCAGTTAGAAAAAATGAACTTACTTGTTTAGGAAGATTGCTTTGCAGAACAGGCAGAGGTGCTGCACAATGATTCCTATGGAATCATTATTAATTGGTCCCTTAAGGGGATGTTTAGCTTGAATTGCACCTCTCAGTCTGCGTGCCACGGCCACACTATGTTCAGGTGATCTGAACAAAATGTCAGATGGTAGAAATGATAAGAAGTACAATAAGAGTTCCTATTATCTTGAACCGTGGTGGTATAGTAGCACCTCAACCTCAAGTGATATGGCCCATTGTAGGAGCTAAACATAAGGATTTGTGGCTTAATAAGATCAAAATTTGGGAAAGAATAAAAAAGCATCTAGAAGGACACTCTACAAACTTGTTTTTGGATGTTGTAAAATTAAAAGAACAAGTATTTAAAGCATCCCAGGCACACCTGACCTTAATGCCAGGAACTGGAGTGCTTGAAGGAGCCACAGATAGATTAGCAGCTAGTAACCCATTAAAATGGATAAAAACACTTGGAAGCTCTGTGATTTCAATGATTGTGCTTTTAATCTGTGTTGTCTTTGTACAGTCTGCAGATGCGGATCCTGACTCCTGCAAGAAGTAGCTCACTGTGACAAAGCTGCCCTTGCTTTTATTGTTTTGCAAATCAAAGAAGGGGGACATGTTGGGAACAGCCCCCCAAAATCTGGCCACAAACTGGCCATAAACAAAATCTCTGCAGCACTGTGACATGTTCGTGATGGCCATAATGCCCACACTGGAAGGTTGTGGGTTTACCAGAATGAGGGCAAGGAACACCCGGCCCACCCAGGGCAGAAAAACCTCGTAAAGACATTCTTTTTTTTTTTTTTTTTTTGGAGACGGAGTCTCGCTCTGTCACCCAGGATGGAGTGCAGTGCGGTGGCGTGATCTCGGCTCACTGCAAGCTCCGCCTCCCGGGTTCCCGCCATTCTCCTGCCTCAGCCTCCCAAGTAGCTGGGACTACAGGCACCGCCACCTCGCCCAGCCAGTTTTTTGTATTTTTTAGTAGAGACGGGTTTCACCGTGTTAGCCAGGATGGTCTCGATCTCCTGACCTCAAGATCCGCCCATCTCGGCCTCCCAAAGTGCTGGACTACAGGCTTGAGCCACTGCTCCTGGCCTATAAAGCCATTCTTAAACCACAAACAATAGCATGAGTGATCTGTGCCTTAAGGACATGCTTCTCCTGCAGATAACTGGCCAGATCTATCCCTTTATTTTGGCCCATCCCTTTGTTTCCCATAAGGGATACTTTTAGTTAATCTAACATCTATAGAAACAATGCTAATGACTGGCTTGCTGTTAATAAATACGTGGGTAAACCTCTGTTTAGAGCTCTCAGCTCTGAAGGCTGTGAGACCCCTGATTTCCCATTTCACACCTCTATATTTCTGTGTGCGTGTCTTTAATTCCTCTAGCACTGCTGGGTTAGGGTCTCCCTGACTGAGCTGGTCTAGGCACCCTGGAGTCTGGAACCCAGGCGATGGCTACCAGAACTTACGCTGCAGGCCTATCTCTGGAGGTGATGTCCAGCACTACTGCATCCAGAGGATCCTAGAGGAGCCCAGGGAGCCAGGAGCACCACCACCCTGCTTGCCTAGCTCCTTCCCCCTGCACGGCTCTGTGGGCTTGGACACCCCAAGCCCAGGCCAAGGAAGGGCCAGGTCCAGCACCCAGAAGTCCCTCACCTGACCTTGACTCCTTCAAGTCCCCCAGTAAACTGCCAGTGACCCTCCCCAAGCTGCCCAAATCCATTGCATTAGACTGATGCAACCAAGTGATGGGAAAGGTATGGATCCCTCCAGCTTTCGTGGGTGCTGAGACTGCTGGGTTTCTGGCACCGCTGTGGCCCTGGGACACAGCAGTTAGGAGGCCAACCCAGCCCTGGCCTCCTGGCTTCAGGGTCCAAGAGGGACAAAAGTATTTCTTGCTTATGTATTCCCTGTGTAAGATTGTAGCAAGGCCAGTGCACCCTGGGAGAGGTTCCCTGTGCAAGGAGAGCCCTGGGGATCTCTCCCAGTCTCTGGGCCCAGGAAGGGGAAGATGGGAGAGGAGGGAACAGCATGTGGGTGGGAGGGGAGCTGTGAGAGCAGAAACTGGGAATGAATGGGTGGGGGCAGGAGCAGAGGAGGCCTGGAGGGTGGGTAGAGACCTTGGAAGCTCCAACTGGCTTCTCATTCAACAATGTTCACTGGTATCTCCAGGGCTAAGCCTCCAGCTGTGGGTCCTTCCCCTGGTAGGATAGGACATAGCAGTGTAAACCAAAAATGAAATTCTAAGCCCTCCTATCATCTGAATGGACCCCTCCTCTGGAATACCAAGGGCATTCCAGAGTTAACCTGAAACACTAGTTCAGACCACAATGGGAAATGGGTATTAGATATGCCTCCCTGTACCCTCCTCCCTTTGGAATTCAGGCCCAGCTGACCAGCAGTAACATCAACACAGCCCTTAAGACTGAGAGAACAGACTCTTTCAGTCTGATGAGAAACGTTTACAATCTATTCTCTCTGAAGCCTGCTACCTAGAGGCTTCATCTGAAGACGAAACATTGGTCTCCACACCCCTTATCTTAACCAGACATTCCTTTCTATTAATGCTAAGTCTTTATAACTCTTTTTATTTTTTATTTATTTATTTATTTATTTTGTAGAGGTGAGGTCTATGTTGCCCAAGCTGTTCTCTAACTCCTGGGCTCAAATGGTCCTCGGCCTCCCCATGGCAAGGATTACAGAAATGGGCCACCATGCCTGGTCAACTTAACTCTTTCGACCAATCAGAAAATCTTTGAATCTGCCTATGACCTAGAAGTCCCTCTGTCACTTCCAGTTGTCCCCACCTTTCTGGACCAAACCAATGTCCACCCTGCAAGTACTGATTGATGTCTTATGTCTCCCTAAAATTTGTAAAACCCAGTTGTAACCTGACCACTTTGAGTACAAGTTCTCAGGATCTTCTGAGACCATGTCACGGGCCACAGTCACTTAGATCTGGCTCAGAATAAATCTCTTCAAACATTGCACAGTGTTTCACTCTTTTTGTTGGCAGGGGGACAATGTGGGTGACCAGGAGGCTGCATTCTTTGAGCAATGGCCAACAGGCTCAACGGCTATGTCCTCAGTCCTTTCAGCTCAAGCGGCCACACCTCCCCGGGGCAGAGGGCTCAGAGCCAAGCCACAACAAGGTGACACTTCAGGGACAAGTGTGAGCAATGCTGGGGTGTTGGGAATAGGCCCCCAAAATCTGGCCATAAACTGGCCTCAAAATTGGCCATAAACAAAATCTCTGCAGCACTGTGACATGTTGGTGATGGCCATGACGCCCACGCTGGAAGGTTGTGGGTTTACCAGAATGAGGGCAAGGAACACCTGGCCCACCCAGGGTAGAAAACCGCTTAAAGGCGTTCTTAAACCACAAAATACAGCATGAGCTATCTGTGCCTTAAGGACATGCTTCTGCTACAGATAACTAGTCAAACTCAACCCTTTATTTTGGCCCGTCCTTTGTTTCCCGTAAAGGATACTTTTAATCTATAATCCATAGAAACAGTGCTTATCACTGGCTTGCTGTGAATAAATACGTGAGTAAATCTCTGTTGCAGGCTCTCAGCTCTGAAGGCTGTGGGTCCCCTGATTTCCCACTCCACACCTCTATATTTCTGTGTGTCTTTAATTCCTCTAGCGCGCTGGGTTAGGGTCTCCCCGACTGAGCTGGTCTTGGTACTGGGGGAGCTGCCCTGAGAGGTAGTGAGCTCCCTGTCCCTCGGGCTATCAAGCAGAGCCAGATGCCACCCCAGGGAGCTCCTCCTTTAAGGGAGGTCCAGAACCCTGGAACCCAAGCCCAGGCCCAGGCCTGAATCCGGAGCTTAACCCAGCAATTCTGGGACCCCCATCCCGGGTCGCCGGCATCCGCTGTCATTTGAGAGCCTGGGGCTGGCGGGGAGAGCTGGTCCGGCCTTCTCTGGGCCGCCTTTCCTCCCCAGCCTCGTAGGGAAGGGGCACAGCACAGCCGAGTTGTGCCACAGCCCGCTGGGCCTGCGCCCCAGGGCCTCCGGGGACACTTGAAGTCCGCAGCTGAGTCATGACTCTCACCCGGGCTCCCCCTCTTCCGCCCAGCCCTGATTTGCTCCGGTTTCAAAAGGGAGGAATGGCGGGAATGCTCGGGAGGGGCCTAGGATTGCCAGGACCTTTAGGGGGTAGAATGAAAGTCGTGAGGGCGAGTAACGAGGTACTGGCTGGGGCTGAAAATACGCATGGGGACCAGAGCGTGATTCGCCCTGAGCCGCTGAGCACGTGCTGCGGGGTGGGGGTCCTAGAGCAGAAGCTAGGTTACCGCAGAGTCCGCTGCAGCGCCCCTGGCGTCCGGGCTGGGTCCCATTTTCCGCGAAAAGTCCCGCGGCTTCGGCCGCGGAGCTGCTGGAGCCTTTGACTGTGCTCAGACGAAGGGCCGAATGGCCAAAGCCAGACCGCGTCTTCAGAGCCTGGCGAGGGGCCCGCGCTGCTGAGGAGGCGGAGACGCCGGGGCGCGCGGACACCGTCGCGCCTGCAGCGACGCTCATGGCCGCCAGGTGCCGCTGTGGCGCTCAGCGCGCCGCCCGCCCCGCCCCGGGGAACGCGAAAGTGGCGCAGGCCTGGGTGGCGGGACTGACCACCTAGGGCGCTGAGGGGATCACGCAACCGTGGGCGGGGCTCCGGGCACCTCCCCCTCGGCCGGCCTCGCGCTGTGGTTCGCTCCGGCCGCGCTGCGCTCGCGAGTTCCCAAGAGGCCTGGCGGGCACCGTCGCCAGCGCCGCGGACATCGGCACCCGCGCCACCGGCTTCGCAGCACCCCGCGCCTGCCGCCGCGATGCTGGGGCTGCTGGTGGCGTTGCTGGCCCTGGGACTGGCCATCTTTGCGCTGCTAGACGGCTGGTACCTGGTGCGCTTCCCGTGCGCCGTGTTGCGCGCGCGCCTGCTGCAGCCGCGCGTCCGTGACCTGCTAGCCGAGCAGCGCTTCCCGGGCCGTGTGCTGCCCTCGGACTTGGACCTGCTGCTGCACATGAACAACGCGCGCTACCTGCGCGAGGCCGACTTTGCGCGCACCGCGCACCTGACCCGCTGCGGGGTGCTCGGGGCGCTGAGGGAGTTGAGGGCGCACTCAGTGCTGGCGGCCTCGTGTGCGCGCCACCGCCGCTCGCTGCGCCTGCTGGAGCCCTTCGAGGTGCGCACCCGCCTGCTGGGCTGGGACGACCGCGCGTTCTACCTGGAGGCCCGCTTTGTCAGCCTGCGGGACGGCTTCGTGTGCGCGCTGCTGCGCTTCCGGCAGCACCTGCTGGGCACTTCACCCGAGCGTGTCGTGCAGCACCTGTGCCAGCGCAGGGTGAGCGGCCCCCGCCCCTGGCCCCGGAGCACGGCCTTTGCGGGACCTCCAGGGGCTTCTCCTAGTCCCCGGCCACCTCCTCTAGGGAAGGCCAGCTGCCTGCACCTCTTTCGGGTACTGCTGGAGTCCTGCCTCTTGCCGCTCCGGCCCGTCCCTCTCTGCCGGGCATTCCTCACTGATGCCTTTGTTCATGGGGGTTCCTAGGGTCCCCGAATCAACTCCATAGTTTGGCTTAGCGTGCTTCCCTCCTGCCATTTCTTAACCTGGCGCCTCACGGTTTCATGTTCACTCCTCCCCTCACGCCTGGGGTTCTGTTCTGTATCTAGAGTGCTGAACTGTCTCTCTGGTTCTTGGTCCTGAATATAGGCTGTAGGGGTTATCAGTTAGAAGAGGTTCCTAGGAGTTCCCAAGGACCTGAACCCCCCTTTCGCACAGCTTAGAGCTGAAGGCCTGGGTCCTGGTCACCTGGGTTTGGGGTTGAAGTACCGAGCCGAGGAGCTGCAAGCCTTTTGGCCTTTCTGCAGTTGGAGAGAGGAGGGCCATGCGTCTCCCCAGAACTCGCTCCTTCCAGCAGGGCGGAACCTCCCCAGCAGCATGACAACTGGGGCCCTGGGGACTGGTGGCCGATATGGCCAGAGCAGATGCCTGAAAAGTTGCCTGGAGCGTCCATGCAGGAAGCCAGGGCTTACCCACCCCTGGTGTGCCCTTAGACAGGGCACTGCCGTCTCCGGTCTCGGACAGGTGCCTCCCGATCAGAGGAGGGTCAATGTCTCACGTCAGTCCTAATGTTACAGGAAAGCGATTCAGATCCGGACCTCAAGAGAGGGTTCTTGGATCTTGTGTAAGAAGAAATTCAGGGCGAGTCTGCAGTGCAAAGTGAAAGCAAGTTTATTAAGAAAGTAAAGTGGTGAAAGAATAGCTGCTCCAAAGACTGAGTAGGACGTTCCTGTAACAGGAGGAACGCGTCCACCCTAGGTGCAATGCTTGTATATATGGGGAGATGTGTTCTGCTACAGGGGTTTGTGATAAAGGATTAATTTTCTTAATTACAATTTTTTTTTTTTTTTTTTGAGATGGAGTCTTGCTATGTCGCCCAGGCTGGAGTGCAGTGGCGCGATCTTGGCTCACTGCAAGCTCCACCTCCCAGGTTCATGCCATTCTCCTGCCTCAGCCTCCCCACTAGCTGAGACTACAGGCGCCTGCCACCACGCTCGGCTACTTTTTTGTATAGTAGAGACGGGGTTTCAAAATTAGGAATGCCTTTGTTCTCCAGATATCGGGGGTATCTGGACACTTCCAAGTCTGGGTCTGTTTAGTAAACATTATTAATTTGTTCCCTTAACTGTATTTGAAATGCTTGTTTCCAGGTGCCGTACAGAAATAGCACTTGAACATAAATTTAATTTACTCAGCAAGGCCATTTTTACTTCCTGCAGAAAGGGTACACTGGCCAGCAGCTTTGCCATGAGAGTACACCGAACAAAGGAGACAGGGTCATTTATATAACCCGATGCGTAACAATCGCTTTTATTTAAAGTGCGAACGGAATATTTAATGCATTTCAGCCAGGCATTTGCATCTTGATACTCTGTTTTGATGGCTAAGATCTGTCTTAGATCTCTTATTTTTACAATAGACACCCTAGTTTTATTATTAGATGTAGAAGCAACTAGTGTGAGATCTAGAACTGAGGCTACTGAAGAAGGGAGAGATGGGGGAATATTTAAAATTTAAAAATACCTAGGGGATCTTTTCCATTATGTCAGTCCCCATACCACAGAAGTGACTAAGGGCAGGCCTAGAGTTAGTTAAGGTGGAGGTGGTGATAGAGAGAAGTACAGGGTTACATTGATAAGGCTGACAGTTAGAAGGGGTAGTCCTTTCAGTGAAATACATGAGGGATTTTAGAACTGCACAGACCTTTTTTATGGAAGTCCAGCTTTGTTCCTGAGTAGTGTAAAGGGTGTAGTCCCATTTACTATAAGGTTGCCAGGGGGTAGGAGCAGAAAATCGGCATCTTGGCTGCAGGTCATTGCAACAATGAGTGCTAGGGTAACTGTCAGAGGGCTGGGACATAAGTATCTGTGAAAAGGCTAGCTGCTGTTGCTCTTTACATTTCCGCAAGGTGTGACAGAGCAAGCATTAAAGGCAGTGGTCTGAGGTGAGTTAGTTACAGTAATAACAAAGGAACTAGTAACAGAATAAGGAAAGGAAGCAATGTAGAAGGTATGTGAAAATTAAGCTTTCTTTAACTTAGGAGGGCTTGATCCTAGTACAGTAACCCACGATTCTGAGAGAAAGATGTTTTCTTGAAACATCTTTCCAGAAAAATGGTGGGACCATTTTTTCTTGGCTCTGCGGACACCTGTCTCAGTGGCTAACAGCGTAAAATAGCGTTCTTCCCAGGCTGGCTCAAGTGTTTTCTTTCTGTCTTTTGATGAGGACGTGGTTTTCAGGCTGGTGCTGGTGTACTGGGAATTCTAGGGGCGGTAGCTGTGCTAAAAAACTTTGAGTTCCGAGGGAAGGGAAAGTGGAAGATAAATTAAGTATATAACTTTTGCGCATATCCGGGGCTTGAGGCCCCACGGTAATGCCTCCCGCTCCATTCCTGCTCAGCGCAGCCCAGGGACGCTGCGGCCCTGCTTCCTCTTAAGGTCTTGGCCTTCTTGGGGCCTTCACTGCCCCTGTGCACTGTGGCCTTGGACATGAGGTTTTTTGTGACTTATCCGGCCGCCTTTGGGCCTTAAGAAAGCTAAACACCATTTTATATTTGACAGTGCTTTTTGTATGATTTTATACCAGATAAGTTAAATCTTACCTTTATATTAATGTGCTATTAATTTTAAACTTAATAAAATCTTGTAGACATTATTTATTCAATTTTAATGTCTGACTATAAGGTAAGATTTCTATAGACTCTTTTTAAGCTTTTATAATTTTTGTTAAAGAGCAAGTTAGTGCTTTAAGAAAAATCTATTGTGCTTTTAATGACCAGTTCACAGAAAAACTGCATGATACCCCTTTAACTTTAGCCAATATGTTTACATAATTTCCTTTACAGTTAACACTTTAAAACTTGCTTAAACCTTTCAAACAAAATATATTTTTTAACCTTTTAATGTAGGTAAAAATCCATATTCTTATGCCTCCTTATAGTCCTGTTATTAAAAGTATATTCTATTTTTCTTACATACCTTGTATATAAACTGTTTTTTTAAAAAATAATTTTACATTCAGGAGGCCTAATTACTTTTAAATTATACACTATTTCTTGCATAAATTCCCTTTTATAGCTTTTCTTAAGACTTTCACAATCTTCAACATGTCTTAACTTTATGCCTTCCTTTTACACTATTTATTTTTCCTAGTTTCACTCTCTGTGTCTTCCTTTGATTTCTGTCTCTTCCAGTTTCTCTCTTACTTATTCTTTCCCTCTATATTTTAATTTCTCTCTCTCTCTCTCTCTCTCTCCCCCCCTCATCATCCCGTGTCCCGTACGGATTGCTGCCAAATCGTTTGAAATGCTTGTTCCCCGGTGCCGTACAGAAATAGCACTTGAACATTAATTTACTCAGCAAGGCCATTTTTACTTCCTGCAGAAAGGGTACACTTGCTAGCAGCTTTGCCACGAGAGTACACCGAACAAAGGAAACAGGGTCATTTATAACCTGACGCATCCACCCTACTGCTGTGTCCGGGTTTCTATTGGCTGGAACGGGACCTCACATTCTGTATTTGTTCCGATTGGCTAGCAACTTAGAACTTTGTAAAAGAGGCAAAGGCAGAGGAGAACAAAGGAAGGAAGTAATTTGTGGAATGCTGAGAAAGGTAAAAACACCTTCAAATAAGGAAGAGAAACAGGCTATGACCTAATGCTTGCTTGGACCAGTATAAGCATACCAGGGCAAATATTTAGGCTAAATTGTGGGAGCTAAGAACATAAAGTACATTGATTTCTTTATCACGGCTAGCAGATATTTAAGAATGTTAGCACAGGTCTTTGAATAAGTTTTGCTTCTAAGAGAAGTTACTATTTGTTCCTAATTACATCAGGAGGAAAGTCTTTGAAGAGGAACCTCTACTTTACTTTCTACAACTGTGA